AGAAACTGAAACTAAAACTAAAACAGTAACAGTATCAAGAAATAAAGATTCAGATAATTCAGATAATTAGAAATATTAAAGTGTTGAGATAAAATTTTTTTCTTCTTTTTAATTAAAAAAATCATATTTTCCTTTCTAAAACAAAAAACAATGAAGAAGAATTCAAGAGAAGATGAAAAAAGTGATTTAACAGATGAAACCTTCACTACTAAAGATTTAACATTTAATGAAAAGAGACAAATATTAGAAAATAAATTAAAAGCTGATCAAATCATCAATCAGTTTAATTACGATAAAGTTGATGTAACTGAAAAAAATCATTCTAATAAAAACACTACCAGTAATTTAATTAAAGAAGATGAAGAATTTGTTAAAAAATCTTTTAAAGAGAAAGTCAGCACTTTAAAAAACATACTTAAACACTCTAAAAAGGAATTTAATTAAATAAAGTTGGTAATTCATAAGTTATTTGTTTATCACTTCTTATTGATTTTATTAACTCACTCCTTTCTGTTATTTCCTCTATAAATCCTATTAGAAATTGCTTATAGTTGGGTATCTCTTTAAGTCCAATTATTAAATAACTAGTTATCTCTGGAAATGATACATGCTTAGAATATTTATTAATATCAATTTTTAGTAGACTAATTATACTTTCTATTAAATAAAATTGCAACACTTCATTTGGCTGATCATCTGTTGTTATTTTCAAAATTTCTTCATAATTTCTATTTAGTGATTTCTTTGTTTCTACTTTTAGTATTTTTGTTAACATTTTTATTAGTAGATCACTCATTAGCAAATTCTCTTTTACTATCACTATCTTTATTATCTTAAGTAATAACAAATACTGTCTGAAATCACAAATATTCTCACTCACATAGTTGTATATGTGTTTTATAAATATCTTATGATGTTTTGTTTTCATACTGCTATTAAATAGTATTTGTACATAAAAGACTATTTGTGATTTTTCTACATGTTCAGTTTTTAGTAACTCTTTTAATATTTCTATATCACTAATTACGTTATCTTTCTTATTTACATAGTCTTTTACTGCTTTTAAATCATCCATGCATGTTTCATATAATATCTTGATGTTCATTCTTTATTGTAACAATTTTTATATTTTTTATTATCAAATTATTTTATTCATCTGATTCTTGCATGACTTTTGCCATCTTTTCATTGGCTGAGTCACTTAATTCTTTCATTGCTTCTTTCTAATGCTACTAAATCTTTGAACTCTTCAAATGTCTTTTTGGCTTCTTCTGCATAGATACTGGTTATTTGATTTATTAATTCAAACCCCGCATTTATATCTATTTGGTTTTTATAGGTTTTTAATAGTGTTTCTTTTGTTATTTCTCCATTTGTATCATACTTTAACTCTATCTTCTCTAATTCTTTACTTACTTCATTACTTATTTGATCTACTATTTCTAATTCAAAATTTTTCATTATTTAATTGAAATTTTGTTATTAAAAAATAATTTTTTTTAAATAATAAAGCTTTGAACTGCTTCTTATAAAATTTTTATATTCTGTTAAATCTATTAAAATACTACCTGATTCACTTATTACTTTAAACTCTATTAAATCATAATAACTATACAATATTTTTATAGAGGATACACTTTTAAATTCTTGTATTGAATATTCTTTAAATTTTGATATTATACTTTTTTTACTAATATTATACTTATTAACTAAATAAATCATAAATAAGTGTATTGGTTCTAGCAATTCTAATATAAAACTTACTGAATATTCCTTTAAATCATACTTATTAATAAAGTTGGTTATTTCATCACTTTTTGAGTTTGATTTAGTTTTTATAAAGATTATGTTGTTCTCAAATCTGCTTCTTATTCTCTTTTCAAAAAGATTTAATACTTGACAGTTAGTAGTTACTAAAATTAGATGACAGTTATTGTTTTGTGGTAGTTCAATTAAATAGTAAAGATTAGTTATGAATTTGGATACGTTAAAATAGTCTAGATAGAGTATGTAATACTTGTAGGTTGGATTACCTTTTATTTGATTAATTGTTTTGTTGTCTGTAATTTCTATGTAGTTTGATAAACGTACATTTATATATTCTTTTAGAATATTATTTAATAAGAATTTATCTGTTGATGTTATTAATAGTTGAGAGTTTGATTTAGAAAGGTAATTGTTAATTTGTTTATAAATTGATGTTTTAGTGATTGTCATTTATTGTTATTAAATTTTTTCAAAATTTATAAAGATTGAACTTTAAAAGACAACTTTTTATTATTTGAATATAAAGTTGTCTCTCTGTTCTTATTTTTTTATGAATACAATATTAATTTGAGAAAAAACGAATTAAAGTTTGTTAAAAGTTAAAACAATGTGTTATCTAAAAATTAGAATTAGAGTCTCTAATAGATTTTTAGATAATAATTCTACCCCTACGATTAATCAATAAAATTTTTATTAAATTTGAATTATACTTTTAACTAGTCAGAAAAGACTTTTAAATTAGTGGATGAAGAACAATTCGATACAATAAAAGTTTTTTTTAAACTATTTTATTTTTTAAAGAATTTAAATTGGCTTTAACAAGAATCGAACCATCTAAAATAATCCCTAATTTTTTTACAAATAAGGGGCATATTTTACTTAATTAATACAACTTACATTAAAATAAAACTTTATTTCAAACAAGAATGACTTTTATAAAAGTAAAACAAAATTACTAAAATTAAGTTAATTAAAACATTAATTAATTAATATAATTTATTTATTAATACTGATAAGTATATAAAGAAATAATAAATAGGTTAATTCATAAAATTTTAAGTTTGTTTTTAATACAAAAAACTACTTGTTATAACAAAATCATTCCTTTTTATTTAAAAAAATTAAGGTTAAATATAAAAAAGTATATTTTTGGGAATCGAACTTTTTAAAATAAGTACAATGTTGTTAGAAAACATAATACAAATTTCACTCTATTGTTAATAAAAATAAAATATTTAAAGTTAACAAGCACGTATCCTATAAATAATAAAAGATCCAACCTTAAAAATTGCATCATGTTTTTATTTTAACAAATAGCAAGATCTGGAGTTAATTATAATAATAAAGAAAATATATAAAGTTAAGGAATGTTTTTAAAGAATAATATAAAATTGAATTTTATAAAATTACATCTTGTTTTTAAATTAACAAAGTGCATATTCTGTAGTTAATTAAAATAATAAAGCAAATATTTAAAGAATAATATAAAATCGAACTTTAAAAAATTGAGTAATGTTTATGTCTAAACAGAGACACAACTTCACACTTATTATATTAATAACACGATTTATAAATAATTTTAAATGTTAATTTGATTAAATTATAACCAAATTCTTTGCTAATACGTCTTATTTGTTGAAATTTTAAGATTACATTATGAAAGAATTTAAATTTTTAAAAAAATCGAAGTATAAATTTCGGAAAAAAATTTTATAATCAAAAATTAGTTGTAGAAATTCAAAAAAAATTACATTTAAACAAATGATTCACTAGTTATGACATAATTTTAATTTATAAAGATTTGTTAAAAACATCTAGGTTGATGAACAATTAGATTTTAGGTTAATGAACAATTAGATCTGATATTTTGATTGGATAATGATAATTTAATAACCTACCTTTTAAATATAAAAGAAAAAATTTTAATAGATCACCATGAACAAAAATATAAAGTTTATTAAAACGCTGTTCATATAAATACAAGCAAAAACAACACAGAACAAAACAAATTAAAAATTTAAACATCTTATAATATAATTTAAAGAATTTAGAACTATAAATTGAGACGAGGATGATATTTAAATTATAACATAATCCGTTGATTGTATTTATATTACTCTATAATAATCAACCGTAATATTCATTTTTATTCTCATTTTCTTTTCTTTTACTTTTTAATTATTAAAATCGACATATTTTGATGACTAATTAAAATAATTTATCATAAACCGATTTATTTAATAAAACTTTTAATATTGAAAGATAGTATAATGCTATTATAAATAATGTAATCATAAATCTAAAAAAGAAATAAGATCATACTAAAAAGATAGATGTAGTTATTTAACTGTTAAAAAAAATTTAAAAATTAGGTTTGGGTTAGTTGATAAAAAAAGATCTAATGTGCCTCTCATAACTAATGGCTTTGAAAAGCTTAAAATTTTTTGTGATAAATTTACTTTTTATTCTCATATTCCCCTTTAGGTTATTATTTATAAACTTAAAAGGAGAACATAAATTAATTGTTTTAAGAAATACTAAAATGATTGATGTCAATTGTAAACAACACCGATTACGAAAGTGTATTTATTTAATTTAAAAATTTTAACTCTTATAAGTTAATAATACTGAAACAGAAAATGATATGGATTATATGATATAAGACAATGGAGTTGAAAAAAAAACAGTAAAGATACATCTGATAGTAATAGATTTAATAAACTTAGTCATTCATCTTCTACCGATTTTGGTATAAAGAAATAAGATATTAGTTAGATATGAAGATTTTAAGTTTTTCCCTCGTTTATAAAAAACTACTTTTTATAACAAAATCATTTTTTTATTTAAAAAATTAAAAAATGATGTCTTTGGGAATCGAACTTTATAAAATAACCAAGTGTTATTATAACTTATTTCAACCTCTCAAGCATTTAAAAATAAAATATTATAAATTAATAAACACATATTTTATGAATAATAAAAAATTCGAATTTTATAAAATTAAACTCTGTTTTAAATTTAACAAAGAGTAATTCCCTCAGTTAAATAAAATAATAATAAAATATAAAAACTTGACAAATATATTTAAAAAATAACAAAAAAACCGAACTCTATAAAATACCGCGTGTTTTTAACTCAACGAAGAGGTAGATTATGCAATTAATTGTTTTAATAATAAAATATTTAAAGTTTACAAATATAATTAAAGAATAATTTGATTAAATTCTATCCGAATTCTTTGCTAAAACATCCTATTTGTTACAATTTTAAAATTGCATCATGAAATAATTTAAATTTTTAAGAAAAAATCGAACTATAAATTTTGAAAAAATTTTACAATCAAAAATTAATAATAGAAATTCAAAGAAAATAATAAATTACAATTAAACAAATGATTAACTAGTTATGACATTATTTTTATTTAATTATTTTTAAAATCAAAAGATCTTATAATATAATTTAAAGAATTTAGAACTATAAATTGAGACTAGGATGATATTTAAATTATAATATAATGTTTAAAATATATTTATATTACACTATAATTATCAAACGTTGTAAACTAATAAATATTTAACACAATAAAGTTATTTTCCATAAATAATAATTTATTTACCAAGTTAATAATTTATATCAGTTCAGAAACAAATTACAAACTTTACTAATTTAATATCTGATTGATTTAACAATAATAATTGTTGTAAGAGTTTGAATAACCTTTGCAATCAATTAAAAAAATAAAAATATAATGTGTTTCTTCTTGAATCAATTGAATAAATCAGCTGTAATTATTATAATTTTATAATCAATATCATATTTCTTGCAATAATTTGAAAAACTGTTGCATCGAATTAAATAAACATTGCAATTTTTCATCATATTTCACTAGAAATTATAATACATTAAACGAATAATATTTTTAAAAATTTTATACTTATTATGAGTCGAAGAAATTTAAATTATTACTTAAAAATAGTAAATGTAACAGAAGCAGTTAATGAAGTCAGTAAAGCAGAAGTATTTAGTAGAGTTACTGAAGTAGCACCAATAACAGCTATAGTAAGAGAGCAATACCAGGTTTGAAAAGAAACGTAAATTTCTCTCTTATGATGACAGACAAAGAATGGTGACTAGGTCACTCGGTTCGTGCCATAGAAGATATGTTAATAATACCTTACAAGACTATAAATAACTTTTTTTAACATTATAATACTTTTGGTAAGATATTTCTGCAATATAGTAGTGGTGACAAGTAATCTAAGCTTAGTTTATATATAAATAAGTAATTCTTAAATGAGTGGATGATGAACTTATTCTTAGATTAAAAGATTTAAGAATAAAGTTATAAAGATTTATGACATCGACTTATCAATCAGTAAGATTGATAAGTCGATGTCTTCGTAATTCCATTATACTTTGAGATTAATTATGTTAGTTTTTGAACGTCGAAATTGTTAAAGCTATATTGAAACAAGGTCGATTACAAGTGTGTATACTGTACTTGGAAGTATAGAATAAAGATAATAACTTTATCTTCCTGATGAGGCAGAGTATTCGATAGTGACACACTCAAATAGAGGCAGATATTTAAAATACCAATCTGCACACCTCAATGTTCATGCTGCCATAAGTATAAATATCTCTGTTGTGTTATAATGAAGAAATATGTAATAATCTTTCAAAAGTTCACAAAAATGGCAGTAAAAGAAGAAGTTTTTAAAACTTCTCTACGAGAATTAAAGGCTGCTTGTACTGAGAAAGGAATTGAGTCTCTTATTTTTATAATAGAGAATGTCAGAATCTATTATTTTAGAGAACCCATTAGAGACAATTAACTTTCTCAGTATACTTTTTATTATTTGCCTCCTTACTTGTTTTTTGTAACTTAATTAAAAATGATTTTTTGTTTAAAAAAATTTAGTTGTGCCCAAGGGGTCCTATGAACAAATCTCAATTGATACCTCTAGTTTTAAAATCTTTTGATTAAATAACTTCTATCATTATTGGTTATTTTATAGAAAAATGCTAGAATATTTAATTTGATTTATTACAAGAAGGATCATTTTAGAATAAATTTAGTTTCATTTTTCTATGTCTTAATATTTTTATAAATCATTAAGAAAATGTGGTTATGTTTATGTAGTTGATTACAATAATTATTATATTGATCAATTAATCTTATAAATCAAAAAACCTGAAAAAGATTGCCAGAGAATCGAACAGTAAAAACAAAGTGAATTAGTTTTTAGTTTAATCTAACCCACCATGTTTTGCTTTATAATTAAATTAAAAAGTATTTAAAATTTAACTAAAAACTTTTTTAAAATAAACCAATTAGCATCGAACAATAAAATATTGAGTCAGATTTTTCATTAAAACTGCTGCCTTAATATTTGTTAATTAAAAGAAAATATAAATATTTAAATTTAAAAATTTAAAAAGTGAATTTGTGGGTTGATAAACTAATTTTCTTTCCAATTCACTCTTAACCTTATGCCAGTTGTGTTCTCTGTTATTCATTTGTCTTAATATCTTTTTTGCCAAAACATTTTACCTATAATAAATCTTTTTCAATCATTTTATTAATAATATTGGTTTAATAAAAAATTCGTTAAAGATTCCTTTCTGATTGATTTGATAGTTTTTTTGACTGAATTTTATCCCTATAAACATAAACTATTAAGTTTAAACGATAATATCTTTTAAAAAATCAAGTTTGTTAATCGAGTTTAATAAAAACAACAATTAATTAATATAAATTGTTTATTTACATTAAAAGTTATATAAAGAAGTAATAAACAGGTTACTTCTAAAAATTATTTTTCTTCACTTCATCTATAAGAAACTTTGTATTTAAACAAAATCACTTCTTTTTAATTATTAAAATTTAAAAAATTTAAGGTTAAATATAAAAAATTATGTATTTGAGTTTTGAAATTTATAAATTTGGCTTTGTTTTTAATCCAACAAAGACGCAATTATGTAACTAATTACATTTTTAATAAAATATATAAAATATACAAATATTTTTAAGAATAACAAAAAATCGAACTTTATAAAATTGTAGACGTTTTTAACTAAACGAATCTACAATTTTGTTCATAATCATAAAAAAATAGAATATTTAAACTAAACAAATATATTAAAAGAATAATTTGATATAAACACAACTAGATTCTTTGCTAAAATCATTTTATTTATATTTAAAAATATTATTTTAAATAATTTAAAATTAAGTTTAATAATTTAAAACTTTAAATTATAGTTTAGATGAGATTTAAATTATAATTTAATATGTTAAATATACTTATACTACGAGGAATAACTATTCAAAACATTCATTTTTATTCATATTGTTGTTTATATCACTTTTCTTGGCTGTTATATTTGACATATTCTGTTGACTAATTAAAATAACTTATCTTAAATCATTTTATTTAATAAATTTTCTTTAATATCAAAAGATGATGTAATATTACTTTTAATAAAACAATTAGACCTGTATAATAATCTAAAAGATTTTAGATTATATTAGAAAAGTAATTGTAATTATATAACAACAATATTCTTTTTGATAAGTAAAATTTATTTAATAATTTAAATAGTTTTCTAAAAATCTTGAATACCAATTAACTTTTGTTTAACATTTAATTATAAAACATTTAAAGTTAAATAAAAAACCATTATAAGATTTACATAGAATCGAACATTAAAAACAAAATGAATTGGTTTTATATTTAGACTAAACCACTTTATTTTGCTATCTAATTAAATCGATAAATATTTATAATTTAACAGAAAAGTTTTTTCAAATAAACCAATTATGAATCAAACTAAAAAAATTATATCATAATTTTCATTAAAACCCTGTCAGAAAGTTTGTTTATAAAAACAAAATATAAATATTTAAAAACTAATTGAAAATCGAACTAATAAAATAGATTTGAGTTTATTTAAACTATAAACCGATTTACAGCATTATAATTATTTAAAATAATATGTTTGAATTTAAAATTAGAAATGAACTAATTGAGAATCGAACTAAAAAATTAGGTAAGATTTTTTGTTTATACCTAGCCTAATCTTTATGTAATTTTAATAAAAAATAGAATATTTATATTTAAAATTACAAAAATATAAATTTATTGTGAATTGAATTCTATAAACCCAATCACGGTTTTTGTTTAAACTATAACTCATTCTTTTTAATAAAAAATAAAATATTTAAGTGAGCGTCTTATCCAACTTAACTTATTAACGATATTTCCTATCTTAGTTCTCTTTTCACTCATTAAATACTATTTTCGTTCTTTGCTAAACATCTTTTAGTTATTTAAATATCTTTTTCTTTTAAAAAATGTAATTTAAAAATTTTTTAGCAATAACTTTATTAATTTTACATTTTATCAAAAGTTTTCTTTAAAATCATATTTTAGAGATTTAAAGACGAGAGTCAAATAATGAATTAAATCGTAAAAATACTAAAATATTAAACTCATGTTGTTACCAGAACTCAATACACTTTATCTTAGTGGAATGAATTCAAAAATTGTAAATCAAATGTCAAATCTATCAAAAATCATAATTAAAAAGATTTTTAATTAAACCCCAATAATAAATAAAATGATTAGTAAAGATTTATTAAACACAGACAGTATTGATGAAAGGGACCTAATAACAGAAGAAGGTCCAAATGATAAGGATGAACATAGTTGGCATAGAGTCAAACAACAGCTGGAGCAAGAATTGGTTTCAGCGAACACATGTAAAATTTTTTTTAAACATTTTTTAAAAATGAATAATTGAGAATCGAACTTAATATTTATGGAGTGGTTTTTATTTAAACCCCTCCAATATATTTTCTAAATTAAAATAAAATAAAATATTTATATTTAAAAAATAAATTTAATGAGAAAAGAACAATATATAATTAAAGCAAATTTTTTTACTAAACTTAAAGTTCATTTCTAATTAAGTAAGTTAAGAAATGGAATGGTTTAATTTAACATTTTTAAAGAACTATTTAGTTATAAATAAAATTTTATTAACCAAAAATTATTATAAAATGTGTGCAAAGATAAGAATGAATAAGATAGATGGAAGGGATTAAAGATCCCATCAGAGCATACAAATATCACTGATAAATTCAAAAACAAACTATTTATACTTAAATATGATTAATCTTTTTCACTCAATACAGCCTATAGTCACGTATTAAGCTAAATAACATTTGATGAATGTTTTATTTATAATTTTTAAACTCTTAACATTATTTACTGTTTTATTATTAATATTTTCATTGAAAAATAAATTAATTTTATGTTTGAATTTTTCAAAAAAATTCTTAGAACATTTTAATAGAAAAATCATTTTAAAATTTTAATAGAAAAACTTTCCATACTCGATGCTGAAATCAAAAGAAAAAGTATAAAATGACTTTATTTTGTTAATATATACTACTCATTCATTAGATTGTGTTTTTACCACTATCTATCTTATCAAAATTATCTCACAAATCGTCTTTCTCTATATTATTTAATTTTAATATGTAAAATTTCCACAGAAAATAAATAGTTTCAAAATTTACACTTAATCATCTGTAATTATAATAAATTTTCATAATGTAATATCACCACATCAACAATTTGAAGCTCAATCGAAAAAAATTCTAATAAATATTTTTTATTCAAAATTTATTCTTATAAACTTATAACTTAAAATCCGATAAAAAACTTTTACAGTTAACTGAATTAGTTATGACAAACATCATTTTACTAATTATTAACACAATCAAACTATTGAAGAATGAAACACAATCATATTTTACATATTATTAGCAACAGGATCTGTTCATGGGGTAAAATACACACATACTAGTTTTTTAATTATAAATATCGGAGATGTTTCTTTGACAAATATTAGAAATTTAAACTTAATTCGTTCTAGAACTACAAATTTTGATAAAAAAATCAAAATGATAATAAATAAATTAATAAAAACACTAAATATCAATCATTAACATATCTCAAGGAGTAAGTATCTTGATTGTTTAATAAGAAATGTTTATGTTATGAAGTAACATTTATTACTGTATATAGTTTTATTTAAATTCTTGAATAATCCAATTATTTAAATAAATTAAATTAAAAAAATTGTATATTTATACAGGAATTCGAATTTAATTATGCTTTTCTGAAAAAATTTTAAAATTAACTTTAACAAGGATCGAAAATAAAAAATTTACCTGTATATTTTACTAAATAAGTGATTAAAATCTAAATATTGAAACAAATTATAATTTAAATAACATACTTTAAGAATTAAACATAATAAACATAAACTAGATTTAAATTTGTTACAAACAAGCATGACCTTAGTAAAATTGTAACAACATCTCATCAAAACTCTAGTTTGTTTAAACAGTTTAATTATAACATCAATTAATTAATATAATTTGTTCATTAATATTAGAAAGCATATAAAGAAATAATATATTAGTTACTTATGAAAATTTTAAGTCTTTGCCATAGTTAAAAAAACACCGCATGTTATAACAAAAACATTTTTTTTTCTTTTTAATTAATTATAAAAAATTAAGTTTAATATTAAAAAATGATACTTTCAGGAATCGAACTTTATAAAATTACATCTTGTTTTTTACTTAACAAGGGACAATTTTGCAAGTATTAAAAATTATTATAAAATATTTAAATAAAAGATTTGATAAAAACATAACCAGATTATCTAGTAAAATTACATTTATTTATATTTAAATAATTTAAAATTAAAATATCTTATAATAAAGTTTCAAAGAATTAAAAACTATAAATTTAGATTTAGATTGTTAGAAAGTGGAATGGTTTATTTTGATATTTTTAATAGAACAATTTAATTAAAAAAAAATTACTTTCTAAATATTATTAAACACGACAACAAAGAAGAGAACGATTGAAATTGATGAAAAAGAGTTTAACATTCCGTCTGAACATACTAAAACATCTGACATAGATAATATTTAAACCATGACATAACATGTTAAATATATTTATATTACATATTGAAAAACTATCATCACAATTATCTTTATTTTTACTGTTGTTTATTTTATTTTCCTTTAACTGTTAAAATTGGCATATTTTGACGACTAATTTAAATAATTTATCATACAACGAGTTTATTTAATAAATTTTAACATTTAAAGATGATGTAATACTATTTGTTGGTGATATAATCATAAAAATAAATAAGAATGTGATTATAGTAGATATATATAGTTTTTTAACAATTCTTTATATCATTTAGAAAATTAGTTTCTGAGAAAATTATGCAACTAAAATTAAGTTTAAAAAATTTTACATATCGAAATTATGGGTAAATTGATAGAAAGATTTATAAATCACAGAAGAATCAACATGATGCATATGAAAGTCATATATGAATTATTTTATTTCTGATGTAAAAAATTTGTTTGACAACTTAAATTAATAACTTTTTTAAAGATTTTGAACACCGATAATACTTTTTCAAACATTATTTTTAAAACGTTTTATTATAAATTATTATATTTTTATCTGATAATCTGTAAAAGATTTGTTTATTGTAGTTAATTTTCTTATAATAAGTTTTAGAGAAGTTTTTATAGCAAAATTTTTTACTCAACTATACTAATTAATGAATAAGATAAATGAGAATAATATTTCTAATTATAATATAAAAAACTGAAAAATTTTTAAAAACAGGATGGTAAAACAAACTTAACGATAGAATTTTTTTATAAGATTAATAGATAATCAAACTTTAAAAAAAAGAATTATTTAATATTTAAATAATAAGCGTTTAAATATAAATTAAAAATAAAAAAACTGAGAATAAAACTTTAAAGGCTGTGATTTTTTGTATAAACCAAATACTCAATCTTTGTTGGTTTAAATAAAAAATTTAAAGTTTTTAAAAATGAACTAATTGAGAATCAAACATTAAAAAAACTGTTATTTTTTATTATAATCACAGCTTGATTAGTTTTTATATTTTAATAATAAATAAAATATTTAAATTAAAGAGTTTTAAAATTTACTAATTAAGTGTTAACAACTTTTATTGTTCTTGTTGCTTCTATTTTAGTCTCAAAACATTATTTTAAGTTAAATTCAACTCTGTTTTATGGTCCTTCTTCAGTTATAGTTTTTGTTCAGTTTTTGTTGTATGTTATCACAACTAAATAAGATTGTGATAAAGTAAATTTAATACTTTTATTACATATTAATAATTAGTAAATTTCCTTTTTAGATATAAAAGGAAAAATTATAAATGAATTACCACAAATATAAATATAAAATTTATTAAAAATAAAGTTCATATTGTTGTGTTGTGTGACTTCTCCACACTCGTCTGATTTCTGTTCTTCAATTTCTTTAAATAAATCTCTTTTCTTCTTCATAGTTTATTTAATATTATGGGTTTCTAAAAATAATTTCTTAAATACCCCTGTTCCAACATGGGATTCGAACCCATGACTAAAGATTTCTAATCTAACGATGTTAAGTAAATTAGGTTCATCCTTCACATATAATTAAATTAAACAAGCAACGAATACATACACATGACATACTTTATTGTTGATCATGAGTAATTTATAAAAAGTTGATGGTTTAAAGTATGTTTATTGAGAAATATTTATATTCTTTAAAAAGTTAGATATGTTAACAGTTCTATCTGTAAACATTGAGTATTGAGCTTTATGAAATTAAAAAAGATGAGAAAGTTTTTTGAAAGTTAAAGTAAAAAGTTGTTATAATTCTGTTCGAGTCCTATACAGCTAGTGGCTCTGGAAAGCTTAAAATCTTTGATAATGAAATTAATTCTCATTTTCATCTCCCCTTTAAGGATATTTTATTTATAACCACAAAAAGGAGAACTTAAAATAACTATTTTAAAGCCAATATAATGATTGATATCAATTGTAATTAATCTCGGTTGCAACAATTCTATTTAAAATTTTTTTAAGAAAAAAAAATTAGCAATGTGAAAGACTTATGTTTTGTGTAAATATTAAAAAATTAATATTTACATGTAAGAAAATTAATATAAAAAACTTAGTTATGATTGAAAATATGTTAGATACTTAACCACTTCAATAAGATATTAAAACACAGAAAAACTATTTTATGTAAAATAGAACATTTTATAAATAATCACAATTTTTTGATAAATTTTAAGATAAAGCTTTATACAACTTGTTATTCAAAAAAACACAGTTTAATAAATCATTTAATAAAACAATTATAGTTTATGTCGTAACTCAAGTATTTAGCAAAGAAGTAAATTTGTTTATTATAATTTAAATTTGTAATAATCTTTATTCATAATTTAAAAGAGATTACTTTTTGTCGTAATACACCATAAGTAAATTAAAGATAAACACGTTTTTGGAAATTTTTTAAATTATAAATTAATTTTTATACCCATAGAAGTTAAGATGAACAGAGATAACTTAGAAGATAGATATAAAGATAATGAGACGATAGATATAGACACAGTAATACTACCGGTGGATTTTTAGATAATGCAAAAGATTTAAATAAACTTGTTTACTCATCCTCTGCTGATTTCGGCACATTTGTTAATCCAAGCTTTCAGAATTTCTTATTTTCAATAGAAATAACTATTTATTGATGTTATGAAGCTAGTTTACAACATTTTTTAAATAAAATTAAAATTGACTTTAACAAGAATCGAACATTTAAAAACTAATCCCTTCATTTTTCTAAACGAGAGTTCAATTCTTATCTATTGAAAAAAATTATAATTAATATAAATTACATTTTAAATAAAATTAATAAAACATGCTAAAAATTGATCTAAATTTTAATTTATTACGAACAAACACAACTTAAATAAAAATGAAACAAAATTTTTAAAAAATTTAGCTTGTTAAGATAGTTGTATTAAAAAATGACTTAAATTGATATAATTTATTTATTAATATAAAAAAGTTATGAAATGTATCTTGCTCCAACTCCTTCTGATTCTACACCAACTATGTTGGGCATCATCTCATTGTACTTTTTGTGTTATTTGTTTATCTCTTTTAAAATATTTTGATTAGTTTATTAATTTATTTAATACAAAAGATTCTAAATAAATTTTCCTTAAATACCCATCAATTAGTTATAAAATTAATTGTGTTAACAAAAGTGTATAAAGAAATAATAAATTAATTATTTCTGAAAATTTTATGTCTACCTCAAGGTATATAACTCAAAACAATATTGCCGTGTTTTACCTTAGGGATACAACCCGTGACGACATTTTATGTGAAGTAAGACTTAATCTTACTTGTATCTGTTGTGTTGTTAATAATGCTGTTGTTTACAAATTTATTCATTGAATGTTGGGGTTAAAAATTTAGAACAGATTTATGTTTAAATTTTTTTTAAATGAATCTTTTGTAGAAACATAGTTACTACAGTTATAACAGAATCATTTCTTTTGTATTTAATAAAATATAAAAAATTATAAATATAAAAAAATGATGCTTTGGGAATCGAACTTTATAAAATCAATTATAGTTCTTATAAAACACAAAGCCAATTCTGTTTAATTATAATAATTATAAAATATTTAAAGTGATTGAAAATATTTAAAAGAACAGTTTTGATAAAAAAATAACCAGATTCTCTAGTAAAATTATTTTCTTTATATTTAAATGATTTTAAAATTAAAAGATTTTATTTACTCATCTTAAACTAATAAACATTTAACAGTTTGTGATTTATTTCAAATTAAATATAACAGCATTTTATTATAAAAAAGACTTGATAAAAAAACTCTTTTTTTAACTTATCAGAAACAGCTTTCGCATTACAACAATTATTTACATTACAACTCAGTTTATTCGAACCCTAGCACTTATATTAGAGATTTTATGAATTTTAAATTTTAAATTTGGATGTGGTTGATATTTAAATTATAACATAATCTGTCAATTATATTTATATTATGTTATGATATTTTATCAACACATTTATTTTTATTGTTGTTTACATTATTTTTTTAAATGTCATAAATGATATATTCTGTTGATTAATTAAAATAATTTATCATAAACCAATTTTTTTAATAATTATGGATGATGTAATACCGCTTGTTAAGAATGAAGATTATACTAAAAAGATGGTTCTGGTTATATAACAAAAAAATGTTTTTGAAGGGTGTTTTTTTATTACTTAAAAGAGCTTTCTTAAAGTCCTGAATCTCAATAAAATGCTTACTAATTTAAATATAACATTTTATTAAAAATATTTTAAATTAAATTAATAATTTCAAAAAATGAACTTAATGAGACTTGAACAAAAAAAAGAAATCATAGTTTTGTTTGAACTACGACTCATTTGTCTGCTTAATAATAAAATAAAAATATAATTTAAATACTTTTTAAAATGAACTAATTAGGAATTTAATATTTATAATTTACAGTTATTTTTCATTTAATTACTGACTTAAGCTTTATTAATTATAGTAAACAAATAAAATTTTGAAAAAAGTTTATTGTGAACTAATCTTTTAAAAGTGTAACTTTTATTAAAATTAAGATTCAATATTCACAATATTTCTAAAATAAAATAAAAATTTTTACAATGAACTAATTGAAAATTGAACTTTAAAAGAAATTTTATTTTTGTTTATATGATTTTTCGATCAATATAATAATCATTACAATCAATTGAATAACTGTTTAAACTAATTGAATAAAATAGAATTTTCAGGTGTTTTTTACAATCAATATATTAATTTTTGCAACCAATTGAACAAATATTACAATCAATTGAATAATTCAACTATAATTTTTGTAATTTTGCAATCAATATCGTATTTTTTGTAATCAATTACATAATCGCAATTTCTTCAGGATTTACAAAGATATAAAGACATTGAAAAAATGAAAAAAAAATAAAACATAATCTATTCATAAACAATCTCTCTTGCCGCACATCTTATTAAATACCCTGGCATTTTTCGATAAAATGATCCGCAATGATCATAAGTTATTTATTCAAAAGATTCCACAATGATAAGTCTCAATTGAGATTAGTTCAAAGCACCACGTGCACAATTAAATTTTCCAAACAGGAAAGATATTTTCTATTGGTTCTAGAAAAGTGAATAAGGGGTGAATACTTTAGAGTATATCGAGAAAGTTCATTATCTTTTAAAAGACCCTTGTAATGATGGATTTTGATATTATCCATAATAAAAACAGGGGACTCAATACCTTTCTCAGTACAAGCGGCCTTTAATTCTCGAAGAGAAGTTTAAAAACATTCTTTGTTCACTACCATTTCGTGAACTTTATCGAAGATCTTTTATATTTGTTCATTGCTAACACAACAGAAATATTTCTACTTCTGAGAGCAGAGATAGTGAGGTATGCAGATTGTCCATTTAAATATTTACCTCTACTTAGGCGTGTCACCACTGAAAACACTACCTAATCGAATTAAATTTTTTTTTCTACATTTTCTGTTTATTAATACTGAATCAATACCATTATTACTAACATCAGAAAAAAATTAAAGGGTTTAATGTACATAGGATGGTATAGTAATGTCTGTTTTTAAATTTTTTGATAATATTAACAACCATGTTTGAATCCTGTTCGGACTAATAACTTTATTTTAGAATAAAGCTTATTAGTTAGTGGAATAAATTTTTGATTTAAATTAGAATGATAGGATTTAAATCAATTTAATAATCCGATAACATGATGGTATTTCTTCTTGGTATTGACTGGAATTAACTTATCAAACTTGTCAATTTGTGAAAAATCAGGTCTTTTTCCATCACTCATTATTATTTGTCTTAAGTAGTTTACCTCACTTAAAAAAAAGAATTTATTTCATACAGTGGCAGTCAAAAAACGCAACTGATAAATAGTGACATAGAAAATGTTACTAAAGAATAAATTTTATATGTTTTAGTAATATGGGTGGATAAATAAATGTTTTTATTTTAAAGAAAACTGTTTATTTATGGTAAGTAAACTAATAAAAATTTTAAACAGCTGGTAAAAAAATTTGCAAATCAGAATTTAAAAAGTTTTTTCTCTAAATTTAATAATCTAATATAGCTTTTTTATCCTCTAAATGACAAGAAATTTATCACATAAAATAAAATACAAATTATTACATTATATTAAGAGTGTTATTTACAAGTTCAATTAGCAGAAAAATTTAATGTTAATAAATCTACAATATCAAGATTGATATCTAAATTTAACAAAAATAATATTGTTTTACGTAAAAGGGGAAGCGAAAGACCAAAATTACTAGATAAAATGATATAAAATTTTTTAAAGACAATATTAATATTAATCCTAAAATAGGATCTACAAAATTATCTAAAATAAATTAAAGATAAAAAAAAGATTAAAGTTTCTCCTCGTACTATTCGACGTGAATTAAGTAAAAATATTTTTGATGGTTTTATTTCCCTTAAAAAACCAATGCTTTCAGATAAAAATTAAAAAAAAGATATGATTTTACAAAAGTTAATTTATGGAAAAAAAAGATTATTGAAGACAAATTCTCTGGTTTGATGTAACTATAATTAATGTCATTGGATCTGATGATGAATTTATATGAGAAGAAAAATGTGTGATAGATATTTCTATAAATACCTTAAATATACAATAAAGCCCAGTAAAGGAAACATTAAACTTTTTGGTTGTTTCTCATATAATGGTGTAAGTATATTGGAAATAATAAAAGGAAATATAGATGTAATTATGTATACAATGAATTTAAACAAAAATCTAAAAAAATTAGCAAAGGGTTTAGTCTTGAATGAAAAATTGTCTTTCAGTGAGATAATGATCCTAAACACACTGTTAAGATCACAGATGATAGGTTTGAAAAAAATGATATCAATATTTTAGATTACCCTTCCCAGAGTCTAGATCTTAATCTGATTGAAAATCCTTACCAATATTTAAAATTACATGTTCCTAAAAGATTACCAAAATTAGTCAAAGATTTGAAAAAGTAATAAAGGAATGGCACAAAATACCAGTTGAGGTTTGTTAAACATATTTTTATACCATGGAAAGAAGATTCGAAGTAATTTTTAGATCTAAAGGTTGTCATTGTAAATATTAATTCTTAGTTACAAGTTTTTTGACAGCTTGTTTAAAATTTTTATTAGTTTATTAACCATAAAAAACAGTTTTTTTAAATAAAAACATTTATTTATATAACCACATTACTAAAATATATAAAATTTATTCTAAAGTAACATTTTCTATGTCAATATTTATTAGTTGCGTTATTTTGACTGCCACTGTATGTCAAACTAGTTAACACGAATTTTTAATATTAATAGGTATTCCATTATTTTACATGCTTAAATAATTGTTAAAAATATTTGTACTCTTCATTTTTTTTATCAATATTAAAGGTAAAAAATTTTAACAATTTTTTAGTTTCAATTTAATTATGACTATTAATTTTTTAATTAAATTGTTATATTACTCATAGCAATTGTGCACGTTGCGAGATTTTTACTAAATTTGAGATTAGGTATATAAAAATTAAAAAAAATTAATTAGATTTTACAAAAATCAAACATTCAAAAAACAATTGCTTTATTTCCTTAAATGAATGATTAATTT